TACCTCTATAAATTCAAATTGCAATTCTGCATCCTATTTTCTGTCTAATTCAAATTAATAACATTTTTTTTTTTATTTAATTACAGTTTTTCCTATTCAGTAGTGAATGGCATATTACCCTCGTCATGACCTTATGTATCTCACAACGCGATGTGCCTGATTTGACCCTCCATTTCCATGTGAGTAATATCAGCCCTAATTCACTTTCATGGCTTATTTGAAAGGACTAGTAAGAGTACTACTGTTTGAAATGTTTGTTGTGGCATGTACTATGCTACTGTTCAGAACAAAGCCCTAGTGTTCTTTTGTACTTGTCCAGAGTTTGACCTTTACAAGCAGGTCAGCTGTGGCTGTGTTTATTAAGATTTAGACACACACTCTGTGAATGAGGATTCGATGTGGATCGCTGGCATCGGTTCAGTTTGAGTAGCTTGTAGACAGTCACAGTGATTGATGGCGCTGCTCTCTGTGGTGTAGGAAAGGTCAGAGTTGGGTTTCAGTGCCTGTCCCGCATACTATAACCAGCTCGCAAGCTCACCTTCTGTGTCTAGTCTGCACATGTGCCCCTCTCCCCACCCCCAGCTCTCTGTGACTCATTCAGCGCTGACCCTGCACAGCCACCTAGGCTGAGAGGTCAGCGAGAGGGCAGCCTCTAAGAAGGTGACCCCTGCAACCCTGGGGCACAGGGTGAGGTAAACTTTGCCGACCTTCTGCTGGGGGAAGCAAACTGTGAGGTGTTACATATGGTAAAAATAGCATGAACAGTGACTGGAAGTGACTTTTGGATTTGCGGCCTGCATTTCCTAGTACAAAAGCCTTATCAGCAAATATTAAAAAAAACATTTGTTATCAATTGTTTGGTAAAGCAAACTGTGAGGTGTTAGATTTAGTCAGAGACTGTGAGATTATTCATGGAAAGTGACATTTTTGTTCCCGGTCACATAGTTTCTTTGCATGAACACTCTTTTCATGTCTACATCCATATGTGCACCAGCTCACACATCCATTCCCCATGCATATTTTTTGCACAGTCTCAAAGCTCATATCTTGTAGCCGTAGACTGAGTCATGTAATGTTTCATGACGTCCTTTTGAGTCAGCTTCACAGAGGACTGAAGTATTTATGATTCTCCTAATAGTTGACTAACAGTGTTTCCATTCAGTCCCAGTGCTGTTAGTCCAACAAGCTTCTGCTGAGATGCGATTCACCCGTTTAGATCCAGGCGACTCATGGCCTGCATTTTGGTGTTTGCTACGTGGCTTGTGGGAGTTATGGATGACCTTTTTTTGCATGTTGAATTTGAGTGGATCTTTAATTATTATTTGTTGTGGTGCATTCTAAAAGGAAAGCATCCATATTATAGTTCATACTTGAGGTTAGAGTAGTGGTTTTCAGCCTTTTTGACTCCAGGGCCCCTCTTTGTTCAGGATTTACTGGATAAGAATTAAGGATTTTTGAAAATATTTTTCACTCACAATTTCTACCTTATAAAATATTTTAGACCTTGGCATAACTAGAAAAATGTCATTATGATTAATTAAAAAAAAACAAACCATAATAATAAATGTCCATCATTTAAGGCTTTAATTTTCGTGACTTTTCCTGGACTTCCTGGTGTGCTTGTAAATGTGATTTGTTGTCATGAAAATATTGCTACAATGCAAAAGAAAAAAAAAGCCTACTTTTTTTCTATTCATTTTCTTTTAATTCATTATTTGTTTCTTTAAGTTTTGAGGTAAAATTTTATGTTCTTAGGTTTCTTGACTTTCCACAGGGCTCAGATTGAGAGATGCAGTGGGCCTGGATCAGAACAGATCAGATAAATAAGTAGTATTTTATTATTCCCACAGTGTCCGCTTATTAGCTGCTGGACTGTGAAGTCGGAGGAAAATCAGGACAGATTAAGGGAGTGTTGTTTGGTTTTAAGTTTCATGTGTGCACTCTCCCTCAAACCTTATTCATTCATTTAAACCATTAAGGTGTACAGTTACATATAACTATAGTTGTCAAACAGTCTCTGACGTGAGGCTTTGAGAGAACAGGCAAAGCAGCATTCCAGTGTCGGACCGTTCCTCAAAGCCATGCCAATGACTGCAGGGAAATCTTCTCTCAAATATGTTTTCATTTATATCAGCAATCATAATTACCCAGAAACACTGCACTGGAAATCACTACTAAATGGACTAAATCGCTTCTGTTGTAACCAATGAAGCTGTGAACACTAGAAGTGGCTGTCTGTGGCACACAGTAGACTGTACTTTTCTTGTTTCCTTTCAGATTGTTTAAATTGCGCGGCAGTGTTGAGAATCAGAATCTCTGCTAGCTGACACATTTTTGTGGTATATACTATCATACCGCCCAGCTCTAGTGTTCGCGTGTGTGTGGCCTGTGATGTTCTTGGCCATCAGAGAGGCGGAAAAAGAGCCAGATAAAAGTGTGCTTGATAAACGAGTGTGCGACTCCCACCATTCCTGTGATGGATGATGCAAGAGAGAGGGGAGCCTCCACCCCTTGAGAGAGACTACAGAAGGCCTGCGACTGCCAGGGTGCTCAGCAGTGCAGAACAGGGCTCCCAGAGCACCTTGGGAAATGACAAATTTTTGCAAGCGATCGATAGTCTTCTCTCCAGCAGCCTAACTTACCTCCTGTGGTTGCTCAGGCTATTAATCCCAGGCACTGTAATTTCCTCCTGAAAGCTCCTGGCGGAGGAGGAGGAGGAGCAGACGGGAGTGGAGTCTGCTCTAAACGGTAGCCTTTAGAGGGCCAAAGTGCGGGCGACGCGAAAGGGATTTGTCTTCGAAAGTTTTCCCTCACAAATAATACAGTCTGCGAGTTCACAAGCAAGCTTTAATAAATGCTTTGTAGACAAATTGCACCATAACGGTGAGGAAATGAGAGTCGCAGCAAAGCCTCGTCTTACTTCCTGTCCTCATCTCCTTCTCTTTGATTTTCTCTGTTAGTTTGTCTCCATTTCCTCCTATTAATGTCTCCTTTGCTCTCTTCTGTTATGCACAGCATCCTTTAAGCCCAGCCCAGTAAACGGTGGACAGAATGAGTTGGGGAAAAGTAAGAGCAGTTGACAGGATGTAGGAACGCTTTGAGAAGTCGGGGGACACGATGCGTGGGCAAGTTAGTGAGAACATGTCAAAGAGGTTGTAATGTTAAAATAGCTGTTGTCACAAGTTTTATAAGGCAGAGACATCCAAACTCTCAATATGATGTACTGACCCTTATGTAGACCTGCCTTGGGAGTTAAAACAGTCAGGTGTTTGTTTGCTCTAGAGCAGGGTTCCTCAAATCTTGCCCTGGAGGGCCAATGCGCTGCAGAGTTTAGCTCCAACCCTGATCAAACTCACCTACCTGTGATTTTCTAATGATCCTGAAGACATTGATTAGCATGCTCAGGTGTGTTTGATTCGGGTTAGAGCTAAACTCTGCAGGAAAGTGGATCTCGTGGGCCAGATTTGAGGATCCCTGCTCTAGAGTGTGCATGTTCATGTCTGAATATGTTTGGGGTGGTTTTAGCTAAACATTCTTTTTTGGAAAATGTAATGTTTGCATACAGTTATGTTCGGCCTTTCCTCATTCAAGTAAATAGGAGTTGTATTTGCATGGCTGAAAATCACTGTTAGCGTAAGTTACAGCAAACTGAACTGACCTGCAGTAAAGGGAATTTAAGATGCAACACCTGTGATTTAATCTTTATTTTATAAATATTAACCATAATTTGTTTTTACACATTCTAATGAGCTTTATTTTACATTTTGCAACCTTTGAACACTATTGCCAAGAAACTAGCCTATATAAATAAAATTATCATGTCATTATCATAAATTAATATCTTTTAAAATGTAATTTATTCTTGTGAAGGCAAAGCTGAATTTTCAGCAGCCATTACTCCAGTCTTCAGTGTCACATGATCCTTCAGAAATCATACTGATATGCTGATTTTATGCTTAAGAAACATTTATTGAAAACAGCTGTGCTACTGCAGTTTGATATTAATGTCACATTTGATATTTAACACATGCTTGCAGGATAAAAGTTTTAATTTCTTTCAAATAAAAAAATTGTTTACACTTTAAAAAAAATTAAGTGTACTTCAAAAAAAATTCATTTGACAGTAATCAACATCTTCTGTTTCAGTATGAGACTGAGTTGGCGTTTAACTTGTATGTTCGAGTTGAAATGGGCGAATGACTTGCTAATGGAATCAACAAAAGATATAAAGAGATAAAATGGAAAAAAAATTTGCACAGTCGTTTGCAAAACACCATGTAGATAGTCATCCTGTCATGTCAGAGATCATATCCTCTCCTAAAGCTTTCACAGTTACAGAGATGTCTCCTGCAATCATAGCAGCGCTCAGGGCATGGCTGCAACCTCCTTCCTGTTGCACACACTGTTACCAGTAGGATATTTAATCAACAGTGACACTTGCAGGAAACTGCTAAATATCAGAAATGACCTGAGGTCATGCTCCCTGTGAATTACTGTGTGGTTAAAGTCTGATAAGGTTATGTACTCTTCTAAATAGTTTCACTGTAGCTCAATAATATTACTCATACACCAGCAGCAGACACCTGTCTGAATGCCGTCTTTTTAGAGCACATAAGGAACTAGATGTTTTCTAAATTGTAAAACTGTGAGAAGTGCTGTGGGTGGTTGCCAGGTAGTTGGAATGTGGTTGCTAAGGTGTTCTGAGAGGCTGCTAGCATGTTGATATGCAGTTGCTAGGGTGTCCTACGTGGTTGATAGGAGGTTGCTTAGTGACCCAAGTCAAAAGAGCCCATCTCTAGGTCTCTGATAGTCTCCTTCAGTGTAAAACTATTAGATTTTTGTTTACCCATTATATTGTTCAACCAAAAAAAAATAGTAAAAGACATTGTATGTCTGATTGCTTGTAAAAGTAATTGAGGTATCATACTTGATGGTGTGATATTGATGTTCTCTTGGTAGCAGCCAGCTACTGATTTTGTCTGTTTGTCTTCATGTTTCAGGACGGCTACTACTCGCATCGGCCCAAGGAGAAAGTCCGCGTGGACAGCAACAGTGAGAACTCCGTTCCCAAAGACTTTGAGAATATAGACAACAGTAATTTCGGGGCACGTTCGCAGACTCAGAGACACTCACCCGGCGAGCACAAACAAGGCCTTCTGGAGAAGGCGCATTCGCAGCAAAGCCTGAGCAAGAACTCCAATGAGGTCATTCAGAATCAGTATGCACAGAATAAAGGTGGCTTTAATCAGACGCGCACCGAGCTTCAGCGGAGGGCCGATCCCACCCTCCGTCCACAGCAATCCCAGCAGCACCGGCACCACCTTCAGCAGGCCAAGCGATCGGCCACGCCCACCGCCGACATCAAGTACGATCAGCCGCCCAAATGCGAGATCAGTGGCAAAGAGGCGATCTCCGCCCTTTCTCGTGCCAAAACCAAGGAGTGCCGGCAGCAGATAGCAGAGGTTTACTGCCGCCACAAAGAACGCCAGCTCATGCCCGAGAAGGTCACCCGTTACTGCCCCGCAGAGGGTGAGTAGACTGTTGACACTGCATACTCTATGTTAAAGACCTCATAAAATCAAAATGGGAATTTTGTGACTTTTAGTACATTTATTAGCTTTGAAACCTTCACTAGTGGACAAATTATCTTCAAGTTCACATTAAATAAAAATTACAGCTGCCTGTCTGAGAAATGCATGTTATTGATCTTATTGTGAATGATTGTTTCATGTGTTTAATTTCAAATTATTTTTTGATCTATAATATTAATCAAAATGTTAAAACTTGATATTCCAGTCAAAAAGACAATCGACTGCAACATGAATTCATTTTTGAGTGCAATGTCTACATTTTTCAAAATCCAATCCGCAACCAATGGATGACACAAATTTCCGTCCTACATTTTTTCTTTTTCAATAATCCATTACACTCGGATGTACGTCACAATATAGAAAAAAAGATCTGTAGCTACTTTAGTTTCATTGTGACTTTTTCAGATATATGCATTTAAAAGTGTTTATTTTCCTGGAAAATGGACCAAAAATATTGGTAATTCATCCTGCACTACACAGATTTTTGTCCAATCAGATGCTCTCTAGAATGAAAATGACCCACCCCCTCTGACTGACTAGCAATAGCAAATGGTTCACGGTTTTGATGTAGCTAAAGCCTTTTTTTTTTTTTTTTTAAATGGGCATGCCGTTTGATATTCACTGACCAAATTTCCTTTTTAAATAGGAAGTACATCACCACAGGAGAGAAAACTGTACTTGTCAGGTCTTTAACTCAATGTCCTGATGTTTTCTTTTGGGATAAGGACTGATTATAATCATCAACCTGCACTGGCATGAAAAGAGACATTAGCTGGAGTTTATGGGAATTTAAGATAAATAATGCTCAAAATAATGATGGTTTTCCCAAATTAATTGCCATCCTGTCTTTGGAGGTTTATGGAAGTAGCGCATTAAGAGTCACAGGGCTGGTAACAGACATTCACAGCACTTGTAATTATAATCAGAGACAGGCTGGAAATGAGATTCTGGATTTCCGCACAAGGTTAGACGGATGTAATTGCTGTACGGTGTCTTTTTCCCCCCCGTCTCCATCTCCCATAGCTGACTACAGAAAACATATTCATGCAATTATGCAGTGCTCAGTCGTCTGCACACAAATCAGGGCTGTGGATGCTTTCAAATAGAACAGTGACAGATCTTCTCAGGGCTCAGAGCCTCTGCCCGGAGAAACTTCCGGAAGCCAGAATGGGTTTTGACAGACATGACGGGGACATCACCACAGAGACATGAGTCTGGGACATGCGGAGGTTGTAAGGGGGTGGGGTGGGGCATGAATGCATCTATTTCCAGCAAGTACAGTAGACCGAACAAGCCACAAGGATGGTGTTTGTATGTATTTATAAACTGTAATTGCATTATGCGGTAACAGACGAAGTCTTTGATGGCAAACACGTGAGTGGTTTGCCACAGTTGTGGCAATTAGCACAGAAGCAACTTGAATTTGAAACAAATGGCAGGTTTTTAATGAACATTGTTGGATGAATGAGTTTCAAATGTGGTCCATGCTGTCAGTCATGAGGTCCCACAAGGAATTTTTAACACTGTTGACTGTTGAGGGAAATCTGCAGAATAGATTTACAGAACTGAGAGTGCTAAACTCAGTGGCCCATCTTGGCTGCTTGTTACTTGAATGGAGAAATTTCCAAAGCTGTTTATGAAATGTACTTTTCTGAAATCTGACTTCTGTGGAAAACTCTATTCGGACCGGTCCAGTTATTACGATGCATTCTCTAGAGTTAAAAAAAAGCAATGTTTCTAAACAGAAGTTGAGATTTTTTTAACTGAAAGGTAGGATGTCCATTCCTACAGCTACCATATTGAAAGTTGCAGTATCTCCCATTAATTTTTCTATTTTTTTTTTCTTTTCTTTTCCTACTCCTTAAACTGTTTGTGTATTTGCTCTGCTCCACTCTGCTCTGTGAGATTTATATTGTTACCTCGTTATGCAATAACACCTTTTTCCTCTAAATATACACTACTGTTCAAAAGTTTGGGGTCAGTATGATTTTTTTTTTGTTTTTAAAGAAATTAATACTTTTATTCAGCAAGGATGCATTACATTTTTTAGTAGTGATAGTAAACATTTATAATGTTACAGAAGATTTCTATTTCAAATAAATGCTGTTCTTTTGAAGTTTCTGTTAATCAAAGAATCATGAAAAAAATATCCCATTTTCCATGAAAATATTAAGCAGCACAGTTGTTTCCATCCCACTTGTTACATATTACAGTGTTGACTGCATTTTTTATCAAATAAATGCACCCTTGGTAAGCATAAGAGACTTCTTTCAAAAATATTTTTAAAAAGTCATACCAACCCCAAACTTTTAAACAGTAGTAGATTTTATAACAAAGTCTATTAAGACTGTTTAAGTTGAAGCGAATTCTTGCATTGTGGGCTGTTGCCGTGTCATCCTCGTGATAGAGTGGTATCGGAAAGATCTTGGCGCGAGAGGCAACACAGATGCTCCAACTTTGAAAAAGCTCACTGCTTCAGGCGAAATCACACAACTCTGTTTCTGTTCCTAAACGTTAGCATACTCTTATAGCAGGACCAGTGTTTCACTGAGAACACAAAGGAAATGCAGTGAAACACAGGGATGGTCAGGCCTTAAAGACAGAGGACACTGAGGGGTTAAGATGGTGTAATTGCTTTTAATAAAGGACCTTAATGCCTTTCCCAGCCTCCACCCATCCAGTGACAGCCATGTTCTCCCTGAGGGCCAGGAGCGGTGCCTTCTCCTGCCCCCGTTCAGGCTCCATCACAGGGTCTGGGAGGCCGGTGCACTTTGAGACAGTAACGACAGGCTCGGCTCTCAGATTATAGTCATTACCCCTCATGGCCCATGTCTTCAGTCAGCATGGCCTTGCGCCAAAACATAGTGCCTTCAGTGTAATTTTATATGAGCATTTAAAATTAACCTCATGGCCTGTAATGAGTAATTCAGCTTGCCCTTCTTTAGAAGTGGCAGGCTATACCATGACATAGAGAGAGAGGCAGTCCGCCACGTATTTATTTTGTGGGCATTTTTAGAAAGCCACAAACGACCAAGGCTCAGCCCTTGTGGTCTGCACCAAGCTATTTGTGAGTGCTGAATGTATGTCCGAAGGAAGGCGGGGATGGTGTCTTATATCAGCCATTGTGGAGATGGTATCAGTGAAACACTTATAGGCCAATAAGTGATCATGTGGTGGATCCCTGCGGTTCTGGATTCCGGCGTTACAGCCGTGTCTCGGATGGATTGAGGTACCCTCAACTCAGTTTAAGTGTTACAAAGGCTTGTCTGTTTCATCTGGACCATTGAGGGATACGCTCCATCTCAATGACTGTGTCACACAGTCAGCTTTTTTGATTGATGGCTATTTATTGATAGGAGTTTGTCCCGAATTGTCCTGTTCTTACAATAAGCCCCTTTTATATTCCTGTAGTTAGAGATGTGAATAATAACTATAACCATATTTGCAAAAGATGGCAACCTCCAGAATGACTTGGCAGCTTGTTTTTTTTTTAATAGACTAAAATAATCTTTAAAAACATGGAAAGCATTGTTTATATGCACAATATGTTTGTGTAAGCTGTGATGCATTATTTTCAGAGTTCTAGAAGGCTCAAAAGAACAACATTTAATTAATCTTTTGTAACATTATGTTTTTACTGTTACTTTTGATCAGTTTAATGCATTATTGCTTAATTAAAGTGTTCTTTTTTTATTTTTCAAAAAAGAAAAAAATACTCATCCCAAACTTTTGAATGGTAAGTGCCTGTCAATTAAAGGAATAAATTGCAGTTTTTGCCAAACTAATTAAATGTGTATTTGTGTATGATTAGAAAACAACATGCCCTCATAAACATAAAATGCCCCTGAAAACCAGTGACGGTGCAAATATTAACCTTAAGTTAATTTCTGGCAACTGACAATATGTTTTAAGTTTAGATGTGGCTAATTTAGTCTTGAGTCCATTGTGGCTCATGAATGTGTGTATGTGTGTTTGTGCAGGCAAAGTGAATATGAATGTGCAGTGGGAGGACGACTCTATGGAGACTGTTCCTGCGGTACCGGTGCGGATAGCCTTCATATTGGTGGTCCACGGACGGGCCTCACGCCAGGTGCAACGTCTCTTCAAGGCCATATACCACACGTCTCATTTCTACTACATTCATGTGGACCAGGTATGTCTTCAGCACCCATCCAGTTTTATAAATATTACCTATCTATAATGATAAGAATATTCTGAAATGACTGAACAGAAGGAGAATAGTTGTGTGGTTGTTAGTATGTTAACTATATAAAATATAAAAAATGTAATAAATTGAAAAAATTTTATATAAAATGAATATATAAAAACTATTTGAACTCACTCATTAACTAATCCATTGTTGGGTGAATAGTTGACCATGTCTAAGAGCAATAGTGGGGGATGGAAGAAGAGAGGGTAAACAGTGGGCTCCAACCCCTCCATTCACTCAGTAAGCTGTTTCAAATGCCTGATGGAGGATTATTAAAGAGCCATACTTCAGTGTCTTTCACACCATTTACTCTCCCAGCTTGGCAAGTGATAGAGTGTGAACATGAAAGGCTGGATAAAGAGCTGCTTTTCAATCAGTCCATCATCGTGGAGACAAGCTTTATGACTCCATAAAACGAGCAGAGGAAAAGAGAGAAGTTAAAGGTTGGGTGGTATAACACAGAAAGCACACAGGGAATGAAAGTCTGTGATGTGCATATCTCAAGAAGAACATAGTGCTTCACACTCGCATGCCAAATTCGTCACTTTTTTGCCAAAAAATAACTTTTTAGCATTTTTGTAATGTTTTCTAGTAAAATAACTAAACATCCCCAAAACAAGATATGTAAACTTGAGAAATAAGATTTTGTTAGATCAGTAGATCTCAACCCTTTTTACTCCAAGGCCCCCCTCCTCTCCGAATCAATACTGCAAGCCCCCCCAACCTTTTCTATTCACAAAAACCTTTGTATTCTAGTGTTATTACTTTTCAGTTCCATGTAATTATTTTTAAACAAAACAAATTCAAGATAGATTTAAAGGGGTCATATGATGCGATTTAAATTTTTCCTTTTTTTTTTGGAGTGTTACAAGCTCTTGGTGCATAAAGAAGATCTGTAAAGTTGCAAAGACTAGTGTTCTTTTTTTGCAAACATTTTTTGCAAAAATGTCACTGAAGATATTCTATACAACTTAAAAGTACATAAAGCTCAATTATACAATAACTTTAACAAATAAGCACAAGTCAACCTGCCATATCAAACAAGACCACAGGGAGATGCCAAAGGACTGCATATAAAGTACTATACGGATCCATTCAGAATCACTAAACACACCAAAATACAAATGAAAACATTCTGATTGTGTGGAAACTCAGCGATCTGAAGGCAGCTCGACTTCATCAGTGAATAATTCCTCTGTCAGAACAAGTGATCATGTCTGTGACTCTGTTTAGCGCATCTGATGCCCGTATGTACATAAACACCACTGATCCTCACAAACTCACAAACACGCATATTGGATATGTATCAGTCGATTTTGGTTATTTAATTGTGCATTTATTTTGTTTAGATTAACTTTTTAATTTTTTTACTAATTGTGTTTAGATGGAAAAGGTAATCTTTAAAAACTAATAATTTAATAGTTTAGTGTAATCTTTAGCAAAATTTTAAAATGAATATAATTTTCATATTGTACATTACAGTCTTGTGATGCTTAAATTCACTTGATTGATTTGAATTTTTAGTGTTTTATTTTTTTTATTTAGACAAAATAATATTGAATATTAATATTGCCTATTTATTGGTCATAACTTCAAAGTAATTGTTGGCTATTGGATTGAATTTTAATATCTGTGCATCCCTACTAAATGTTCTTAGATTTGTTTCAAACTTTTTACCAATGGAGTAAGAAAAGTACATTTAATTTGATTTAATTCTTTGAAAACAAGTCCTATAATATATTGTGCAATTTTGCTTTTCAAGTAAAAGTCTGGAAAACGTCTCTAGGTTACGTATATAACCATGGTTCCCCGAGGGAACGAGACGCTGCGTCTCTTTGCCATACTCCCTGCATCCCTCCAGGCGCTACTTCATCGAAGCTGGTTTGCGCTCTGCCGGATGCGCTTTTATAATTTCTGGTGCTTACGTCACCCCGCTCGTGACGTCTCGCTACTCCATTGGACGGATTTGACACGTGCTTCAGAACGCGGTCACGCAGGGGCGTTCCCAAAGCGATCTCGACGCAGCGTCTCGTT